ACGCAGGGAGACTTAGTTCCAATAAGCAGAACGAAGTGGCGGAAGTGTTTCCTTGGATGTTAGGGCTCCACCCTTGTAAAGGAGCGAAAGAAAAAAAAATAGCCTAGGGAGAGAGAGAGAGCATCTTTCCTTCACCCTTGTGTAGTCAACAAATGAGTTGCATGAAATGCTTTCAATCTTCATAGACATTTGCTTGGAATCAAAGCCCTTTTGAAATAAGTAGAATGTCTATGCAAGTGAATCTAAATAGGACCCAAGGTGCAGAATGAGCTCATCATAAAAGTGGATGAATGAAAGCGCTCCTGACACCCTAAACCAGCCACCTCTGGTCCTCCAGGAGTTGTGGAACTGCAGTTCCCAGAATTCCCATCCAGAAGAGTCTGGCCATGTTAGGTGGGAACTGCAATAACATTTCTGAAGGGCACCAGATTGAAAAAGGTTATCCCATATTTGTATTTTAGAGGGAAAAAAAATCCTCTGACGATGGTTCCATTTTAAGGAATGTTTTGAATCGCTCCTAAATAGTACAGTAATTGGAAAGTTCAAATAGGTTGGGATATATAATTTCCCTTTGATATGACGCACTTCTAGGAAATTTTGAAAGAAGCACTTCCATGAGATTTCTTTTAGATTCCTTTCAAGGTCAAAGGACTGAACCACATGACTTTCCTGCAAACGACCCTGTCACAAAATGAACAGCTAGATGTCTGATAGCAATATTTCCAAAGCATGTACTTTCAAAGCCAGAATAGGCAGCTTTGGAGATTGGGGGCCCAGACTCATCAGCCCAACCAGCTAAGGGGTCAAGGTGGCCTTTGACATCATTGGAAGGAATGGGGTGAACATTTTGGGACCATTTTTTCATCATGTTTGGCCTTTTGAGGGTTTTAGGAATGAGAATAGGAGTCTTTACCTTTCATAGGATGTGCCCTTCTATTTCCACCCCTATATTTGCATTTATTTTTAAGCCAAATGTCATGTCATGGAAATCAGATAATTTTGTTGCCAGATTTCAGCAGCACAATCTCAGTATGCTCTGAGTTGGGCGGTCAGGGCAGGTCCCTGGAGCAGCAGGGTTGATTACCCCAGCTGTAAGTTATAATTATAAATATACACTTATGATCATTATTGATCACTCTAACCTTAGAATAATCCTATAAATTTGTCAGGTATTTCCATACTCACCAGCATGTTATTTGGAACAGGAGGGTCTTGAGCATACCTAAGGTCAAATGTAATACAACCCTGAACATGCTTACTCAGAAGTAAGTCCTACTATATTTATGAAGCTTACAATCACATTTAAGTGTTTACAAGACTATGAGTTTATGGCTTGTTTAAATTTGACTCGGGAATTTCCCAGCTCATTCTGAAATGAGATTGCCTTAGTTAAATTTATTTTGATCAACCACTTGTCAGCCTGTAATACCACAAACACACTCTCAAGCTCGACAGAGTACAGCCAGCTTTTCTAATCAGATTGTGATCTTAGGCAAAATATTACCTGTCATTTGCAACAAAAGGCCCATCTTACAGGCCCATCTTACAGTTGCAACAAAAGGCCCATCTGAGATAATAGTTGTTCTCAAGGGCTATATAATGCTACTGAATCATGGGATTGAGTCATGGGATTTTGCTCATTCTTAGGAAGAACAAAATAGACCTGAACAGTGCCAAATCCTGCTTTAGATAGCATGTGTTTGGTTGAATAAAGCCTCACAGGAGTGTGATTTCCTTGATATAGGAAATCTGGTTCCTTTTGTTTAGTTTGATCTTTTGTTCGCCAGTTGTTTAATTTCCTTCCCACTTGTGCTCCTGATTTCCTAATGTCTACTTGCTGATGCACTGACTTGTATATTTCAGAAATCCTTTTGTTCGAGCAGGTTAAAGATGATGGGAGAAGAGGAGAACCTGGTGAAAGAGGAGGAAATTCTGTCAGAGGAGGAGGAAAACTTGGTAAAAGAGGAGGAAATATTCCCAGTTAAAGAGGATGAGAAAAACCTGGTGAAAGAAGAGAAAATATTTCAGGAAGTGAAGGAAGAGGAGATGGTGAAAATAGAGGTGATTCTCCCAGAGGAAGAAGAGAACCTAGTAAAAGAGGAGGAACTTCTTCCAGAAGAAAGTTCCCTTCTGGAAGAATATGAAATCAATGTTTTTCAGATTCAAGGGGATGAAGAGCCCTGTGACAGTGAACTTGGACCTGAGATCCCAGGTTATATCCCAAAAAAGAGACATTGTAAAACCGTGCCACGGGGGGGAACTGTTGTGGAACCCAACCAAACCACAGCCCGGAAGGGAGGAAGAATCTATAAGTGCCCTGACTGTGGAAAAATCTTTAAGCGGTGTTCACCTCTTATTAGACACCGAAGAACCCATACTGGAGAGAAACCTTACGTTTGCCGTGAGTGCTTGAAACGTTTCAGTGACAGCTCAGCCCTTGTGAAGCACCAAAGAATCCATGCAGGAGAGAAACCTTACACGTGTCCTGAGTGCGGTAAGAGCTTTTCTCAAAGCTCCACCCTGATCGCACATCAGAGAATACACACTGGAGAGAAACCATATAAGTGCCCTGATTGTGGGAAGAGTTTTAGTGTGAGCTCTAATCTTGTTGCTCATCAAAGAATTCACACAGGAGAAAAGCCTTTTGGGTGTCCTGTCTGTTTAAAAGGTTTTCTGGTCAGCTCCCATCTTATCAGACACTTGAGAATACATACTGCAGAGAAACCTTATATTTGCAGAGAATGTGGAGAATGCTTTACTCAAAGCTCTCACCTTGTTGTTCATAAGAGAATCCACACAGGAGAAAAACCCTATCTGTGTTCTGAGTGTGGGAAAAATTACCGTGGGATCTCCGATTTGATCCAGCATCAAAGGATTCACACAGGAGAGAAGCCCTACAAATGCTCAGAGTGTGGCAAATGCTTTAGCCAAAGTTCATGTCTCAAGAAGCATCAGCGAATCCACACAGGCGAGAAACCTTATATGTGCCTCAGGTGCGGGAAGAGATTTAACCGGAATTCACATCTGACTAGGCATCAGAAAACCCACATGGGGTAATTTCTAAAGAATACTTGTCTGGAAGTTCCTCTCTATTACAGCCACTGAAGAAGTAAAGATGGATGTCTCAAACATTGATCCATTCCCCATCTCCTGAAGGATCATTTTTCCAATCCTTTGAACTCAAATTGCAAGAGTATAAAAAGATTTTGGATATGTTACCAGGTTGCCTTTACAATGTTTTTTTCTGTGGCTCTGGTTAAGATCCCCTTTCCAAATTCCCTCCTCTCCATCCAAGATTCTAATAGGATCTTAGAATCTTCCCTGGATAATCCATACTTTTCCTTGTTATGATTTTGAAAATGACATCCCATTTCAAATACCTTCAGGCATGTCAGCCCTTTTTCCTGGATTTTGAGAATCTCCTAACGTTCAAGTACACCTCAGGTTTCCACAGTGAAAGAATTGGAAGCTGTGAAAGGTGGTGTTGTTGGCAGAGGTGGGGGGAAACAAACACCATAACCAGTCAGCACTGACGTCAGACTCTGTGATGACTCCAGCCTCTTCCCTTTTATTTTTAATGCGGTAGCACATGAAAATAGCATATATCACCACATGAAATTTATACACATCATCCAGTGGACTGCTTTATGGTTCCATGCTGCCACTGTCTAAAACCAATGGAAAACTGCATGTGAGAAAAATCTGCTTCACTTTGTCCATTATGGGGTTTGTCATAAGGCAGAGAAGGGGGCAGGATTTAGTGTACTTCCTTGCCTCTGTCCTTCCCCCTTTCTTTTTCTAATAGTAGACTATAGAAACTTCACTGCTTGGAATCTGAGTTATAAGCTTGATCACTCAGTGCTATGGTGACTCTTCACTGTAGATGTTCCCAAAGCTGATAGGTTGGGGGGGGGGGCTGTCATAAAATATTGGTTGAGAGCACATTCTTGTATGCAGCAGGTCCTGGATTTAATCCCTTGCTTTTCCAGCTTGAAACATCTTGAGTAACATGAGTGAGAAAGATTGTTGCTATAGAGCAGTACTGCTAATCAGAATAAATGTACTGGGTGAAGTAGCTAAATGATCTGGTATAAGCTCCAGTTCTTGGCATCTCTTTCCGCGGATGTCACATTATACCCTAAGAAGCAAGGAAAACAGATGGTCCTTCTTGGTATTAATGAAGGGCAATCTGGGATCTTACACGGCCTGGTTGCTGCCCCATGTAGTGACAATATCAGAGGTTTAAATTATCAATGCAAATATTTTCCTAATCCTTTTTTTTTTTTCACTTTTAGTGGAGTTTATTGAAAATTTTGGAGTAGATTTCTCTATTTCTCAAGTGACAATAGGATAGTGGCTAAAGGACCGAACTATGCATCGGAAAGACTTTGGTTTCAGTCTCACAACTGATATTCTTGCTTGGTGGCCTTCAGCAAGTATTTTCTTGGCATAAGTCTGCCCTGTGAAATTTGCGATAGGGGGATAATAGCCCTGACTTAACTTACAGAGCTGTTGTAAGGGTTATACAGCTTGGACAGTCTAAATGTGCTCCGTAGGTGCACTGGTATTGTGTTTCTCCTTGGGTTTGGGATAATCTACAGACCCCTTGATGGGAAAATGCAAGTGCATTCTACTAATATTCCTGTGCGTGTATTGCCCTATTTAGAAACGTCTTTCCACACATAAAGATGCCCCTAGATGATTAGAACCACATAAGGAAGGCAGCCTTCCACATATTAGAGGGATAACTTTGGCAGCAGAGAATCTTCTGTTTTCCATTCTTTTCCTGAAAGAAGCCTATTGGAATAAGAGAGGGCTTCCCACTATGGTAATCTTCCCTTGGTGCTTACAGAAGTATGGTAATAGGGGAGTGAGGAGTCAGGAAAGGGGATGGAGCTAATAGGCTTGTCCCCAATCTGTGTGAGGAAAATCACAGGGAAGGAGGAAAAAGCTTCAGAATAGTATCTGAATCTCTGCTGAACATGAGCAAAAGAAGTTCTTGCCTTCCCTTAAGGCAACTGTGAATGCTTCGAGATGGAGAAAAGAGCAGAACGAGTGGAATTCTTGGTCAAGGAAAACTGGAGAGGACTGGAAGTAGAGAAGCTGACCCTAGTTTCAGTTGAAGAGCAGATGGAAGGTTGTGAGATGCCTTCAAGCTCATTTTCTGAGGAACAAGGAGAACAAAGACTGATGCCTCAGTTTGGAGGGGTGCAGAATGCCTAACGTAGTATTTGAATGTGTCTCTCCTTTGTCCTTTAAAGCCCTGCTCCATTTTATGTCAGAATGATCTTCATCCCATTATGGTTAAGTATATCTTAAAGATCTGACTTTCCTGCTCGTTCTTTGCAAAAGAGTACCTGATAATTTTCTACTTCTGGTATAGAGAAGCGTGTTGTGGCTTTTGTTTTCTTTGGTTCTTGAACATCAAAATAAGATGATGTCTTACACTCCTAAAATATACACATGCCATATGCTTACTGGTGATTTGTACTGTGCAGTGCGTGCCCATTCATGCTTTCTCAGAAGTAAATTCAGCGTATTTGCAGAGGCTTTCTCCAAGGTATGTGTATACGGGAAGGCAGGCTACAATATTTCAAACCTAACAGATAGAATGGTTTTAGATTAAAAAAATAGTCAAAGCTTCCCAATCCTATATTTGTACTTCTGATGTATTGCAGAAAATGTTCCACAGTATAAAGAGTTAAAGTTTTCTTTTTTTAATTGAAAGGGAGAAATCATCTTAGTCCTGTTTGCCCTGCATTAATTAGGTCGATGTTGACAAAGGAAAGGAAAAATGGAGAGTGCATCATATAATAGTAACATAAAATAATGTGTATTTAATCGCTTGAGTAAATTGTACCAGGAATGGCCAAGGGACATGGTGAACTGTATGAAATATGTTGTATGGGTCAGGGTTCAAGCTATCTTCCTGTTGTCTTGTATTTCCTGCAACACAATCTTGAGTCTCGTTTCTTGAACACTCCAGTTCCCAACTTTCTCCAAAACGAAGTATGCTTTTAATGACAAATTCAAGCACTGGTTAGAAGAATACTGTAAAAGCATCATAAGGTGGATTTTATACTTAATGATCATTCAAGCACTTGAAATAACTAGTCAAGCACAGTGTTGGAAAGATTCACTTCAGATACTGTATTATAATCTATTTTTGCATTGTATGCCACCTCTACAGAATAACTAAAGGGTTCAAAAGGTATGTAAATTTAAATGGAGGCCTATGTGGTAAATGTACATAGTAAATTTCATTATCATGTCTGTACTATATAAGGAAAGTTATCACACTGTGCTGTACTTTATCTACCCTGGCTTAAAGCTGAGCACAGAAATCAAGCTAAGGTTTGAAATTTACACATACGCAACAATGCTTTAATTCTGATATTAGTTTTGACCACAAGTATCAAAGGACAGGATATCTTATTTTTCCTTCATTCTCTTTTGAAAATAGATGGAGGATGGAATACCCATTTAGTGTTAAAACTGGTCATACAGTGTAGTAAACTGAACGGCTGGGTCCATACAACGTTCTAGACTGTGCTACAATAGTTGAGGGGAATTTATGATTCAGCATCTTGCAGAAATCCAGACATAGTCTTAACTTCCTATGAACCATGCCACCACTTTAAACAATGTCTTTTTTTTTTTTTTTTAAGAAACTTGTTGGGCATAGTTTGTTATGTGAATGCAGCAACTGTATTTTTTAACCCAGGTTTAAAGTATTGCATCAAGCCATTGTATATACCAGATTTCATTCTGATAGCTCACTGGTCAAGATAATTCATCTACCCAAAACTGCTTAATCGAAGTGTTATAAAATGTTTAAATAAATAAAAAATTGATACAAACTAGCAGAATGCCAAATTAACTGTCCCCGAAGGCCCCTTCTTTCAACTAGCTTTCCGTAATGTTGTTTTTATCCTTTCAAGCACTATTTCTGTTCTGAATAGCAGACTGTAGGAAAGCCTTGCCAGAGGAGGTAGCATCTGCCAATTTCTAAATGAAATAGACTATTACTTCACTCCCCTAGAAGCAAATTCAAACAGTGAAGTCCAGAGAAGGAGGTGGGCTGTGGATACTGAGTGAAAAGATAAATTTGGGAACATTCAGTGCTCAGAAGTTGAGCCTTAGTATGGAAAACATTCAAAGTTTTAACAAAACATGCCTTAGAATAAACCTTGGTGGGTTCTGTAGGTATTTATCTTTCATTATTATCTCAAAAAATAGCTCAGGGCAGAATGCATAGCCCACCTCCTATTTTCTCTTCACAACTATCTTATAGTAGATTGAGAAATGGTAACTATCTCAGCATCCTCTAGTAAGCTTTGTAATGAAGAAGTAATTTGAATTTCTTGTTCACAAAACCTACTAAATCACTCAGACTGGTAACCAGGAAAATTCATACTACTATATCCCCTCATGCTTGTCTTGTCTCATGCAAGTCCTTAATTATGGTCAGTGGTTTCCGCAAAGCTATACGTGTTTTCTCAACCCAGAGCAGCTGACATTTCCAGTTAATACACACCTGAATTTGGAACTGACAGCTGACCTTGATTTCAGATGATGTGAACCAAAATTGGCAGCTGCCTTTTATTCTGATGTTACAGGTATGGGGAAACTACCAACCATGGTGAAGGGGCTGTGCAGGATGGAGATAGAGGGTAGCACATCCATTCCCATTAACCAAGCTAAGTGGCTTTGCATTTCATGTGAAGAACCATTACATCTCCTTAGTTCAAGCCTAATTGTCATAATTAATGCATCATATTGTCTGTCAGTTTAGCATGTATTCTGGTCTATATCTCTTGGCGAAGACTTGGCCCCAATGCTGCTCTGAGATGAAAACACTGACATGTAACACAGGGGTGGATAAATGTTGAGGGCTCTGGAGTGGAACAGCCTTCTGAGCTGCAGGAGACCATCCAGAGATATTGTCCAGAAGAGATGGTAGCATTTTGGAGGGAGAAATTTAGAGTGGAAATTGGAGCAGGAAGCTTCTAAGAGGCGCACCATTCCCATTCTCTGTTGAAGCTTCTGGAAAGCAGCCCCCAATCCCTGTATTTGCAGGCTAATTTAGGGGGATGAGGGGGTGGGATTAGGGATGGGAATGAC